GAACCTAGAGAAAATGGGTGGTTTCCTAGGAAAAATACACATTCATAAAATGGACCCTAAAATAAGAAAAATACAAGGATGAATGACCACCCAGGCACCTCCCCACCCCCCTGTGGTTGCTCTGGGTAGGGCTCCCTCTCAGGGACAGGGAAGGGAGAGGGACAGAGCTGTTTGAGCCCTTTGCAGGTCCCCAAGATCTGGCCCCGCCCAGTGCCTACCTCTCCCCGCCCCCGATCCCCCAGGACATCACACTGTGCAGAGGGACCATCTGATTCAGGGACTGGTCACAGGTGCAGAAACGAAATGAACTAGGCTGCCCTGTGGCACTGGCCCCAGGAGAAGAACCACTTTCCTGCCTCTGGGATTCCACGTCCACACCAGGGCATGCCCCCAGGAGCCCTGCTTTCTGACACACGGGGCAGGATGGCTTCTCCGGGGGAAGCCGTACCCACAGAGCCCTCTGCCTCCGCTTGCTGGTGGCCGTCAGGTGCTGTCCACCAGCGTCCAGTCAGCAGCCCTTCCCTGCGCCCTCCTCAGCTTCTGCTGCGTGGCATGTTTGCATTTATTCTGTGTTTGTCTCCCCATCTTGCTCCTCCTCTGAGGAAGCCCATCCTCTGACGTCTCAAATTGAATACCTGGACTGACTGCAGAACTGCCGCCGATGCCCACAAGCCACACCGTCCTTCCAGCGGGCGCTCACTGAAGGGCCCTGTCCTGTAAGGCCATCTTAGGGAGACCGGGGCTTCCCCATGCCCCGGCCCATTTGACTTGAATGGACTCTGGACTCTCTCAAGGATCTGCACCTGTTGAAGTTTGCACAGCCCTAGAATAATGCCACCTGATAAAGGGCTCTGCTCCTGGTCACAGGAGCTACGGAAGGTCTGCCTGGGTTTTGATGATGCCGTGAGAAGCTGGTGGACACAGACATGAAGCCAGTCCCCGGCAGCTGTGCTCCCTGGACGGGCCCCTGATGGAAGCCACAGGAACGGGGGGAGGGGTTTGAGTTGGAATGAGTGTGGGTTCCCTGCAGGAGAGTCTAGTAATGGGACCCTTTAGACTCGTTGTAAGTGGCCACGGCCAGCACAGGCACAGAGCGGGGATGTATCAGTGTCCACATGACATCCCTAAACAGTGAGGCCAGCCCAGTCCAGCCTCTCCTTGGAGCCTCGGCGACGAACCTCAGGTCCTCAGAGAGCCGGGCCAGTCCCGAATGACTCATCCTACTACCAAGGAGTCTGGCCGGGCAGCCCAGGCCCTCTCAGAGAGCAGTGTGACCACAGCCAAGTGACCCTCCCTTGTGTTGCCACGCCCTGCCCTGGGGCTCAGGGGGGAGGGATGACCCAGCTGCCCCTCCCCCTCTGCCCAGGTGAAGCCCAGGCACTGGCTTCAGGCCTGGAGGAGGAGGAGCCCCAGTGGAGAGACGCCTGGGTTTCTCTGGAAACATCAGGTCGGGCCTCCCTCCCACCTTCCTGCCCAGCTCCTGGCTCGCCTCTGGAGTGCCAGGAAGGTTGGCATCTAGGTTTCTGGGCTCTGTGTACGGCTGTCCTGGAGTCTCTCACCTGGTGAGTGCCTGGCGGTAGGGGGTGGGAGGCAATGCCAGCAGGGCGGTAGATGGGGTGGGCCAGCCAGTTAGGAGATGGCTTGGTCTTCCCACATTCACGTATGTGGCAGGGTGCAGACATGCTGCCCTTGCTCTGTCATGGTCCCTGGAGGGGAATTCCATGGGATCCCTCTGAGGGCTTGGGGCCTCCTTGGGGCAAAGCCAGTCTGACCCTGAGAGGGGATGCCTGCCAGCCTTCTCCACTGCCCTGCCCTGCCTTTGGGCTCAGGTCCCACTGCAGGTGGGCATACATAGTCATCTAATAAACTCTGCCTCAGTTTTCCCATCTGTAAAATGGGGATAAACACTGTCCCAGGCCCCAAATGGCCTGAGGGTTCAGTATCTGGTTTCACCTGGCAGGTCCACTTCCAACAATGGGCTCAGCAAAGACCCAACAAAGGGCATGGACCTCCAGACATCCCACCTTTCCAGAAGATTCCTGTCAATTGAGAGTTAGAGGCAGAGGCAGCAGGTGGAAGGAGACCCTCAGGCGTGCCCGCCCAGAGCAACGGTCCTAGGCACTGTTTTGGGCCCATGGGGGAGCTGGTCCCCGGGGCACGGCTGTCTGTCCATAGGCTCCTTCCCCAGGTGCTGGGTCCAAGGCTGTGTCCCTGCCTGGGCATGCTTGGCTCCGTGGCGGTGCCCAGGCAGGGCTCTGCGCGGGGTCCTGTGGCTGAGCAAGGCAGCAGCACCTTCCTCGTGGGCTGGAGCGTAGCCCCGGTCACCAGTCGCCTGGGGACTGTGCTGGGAGCCGGCCTCCCTGTGGACACGCCCACCCGTCTGTCCTGAGTGGGCAGTGGCTCTGCCCCTGGCGCGCTGTGGGCTCAGGCTTCTCTGCGCGACGTCATCCCTCTTTGCGTGCGGCCCCGCCGTGTCTGGCCCGGCCGCATCAGGCCCCCGCACGCTGCTCCCCCAGAGCTGGTCTGGGTGTGTGGCCGTTGGGTGCCATGCCAACGCCCAGGTCTGTTGTTGCTGCCCAGGTCTCTGTGGCCTCCAGCCTGGGGCCCCGAGGAGGTGGGCGTGGCAGCTGCAGGCCTTCTCCTTCACGGTCCACTGGCTGTCCCCAGCCCGGGGGCCTGCTCCGGGCGGCTTCCCTGGGGACAAGGTGGTGACAAGGAAACAGTGTGGCTGATCTCAGCCCAGCGCTGACACTCCCAGAAGGAAGCCTGGCCCCACCTCTGCCCCCATCCAGCCAGGCCCCGGGCTCCTCAGGGGGCAGATGGGGCACGTGCAGCCCTGGTGGCATCAAGGCAGAACCTGCTGCCTGGACAGGCTCCACTTCTGGGGCCCGGCACAGGTGCCTCGAGGAGCCGGGCAGTGGCCGGAGCTGGCAGGCTAGGCTGGGTGGGCCGGTGAGGACAAAGGTGCCGGCTTTCCTGGTCTGTGCCTGGCCTCAGGGTTACATGGGTGTTCTGTGTCTCTGACCTTACACAGAAACTACTGGTGCCTGATGTGTCTGGCAGTCGGGCTCTCGCACTGTCTACCCAGCTGGGAGAGGCAGGGGGTTGTTCTGTCTGCTCCCGCTCAGCAAAGGCCTGTCTTCTGACCCCACCAGAACCCAGGCCTGGAGGCAGTGCCTGGACTCCTCCCTCCCTCAGGGTTGTCCTCATGAGCCCCCGAGCCCGGCCGTGGGCATTCGCTCGCCAGGCCCCTGCCCCCAGCAGCCCCTGGGCCTGTCAGGGAGGAGGAAGGGAGGGGCGCCAGGCCCACTGGCACACTCTTCCTCAGCAAGAGTGGCATCAGGGTGAGGGCAGGAGGGGAGCTGCATGTGCCTCCCCGAGCGTGGAGGGAGCTGGGGGTCTGGAGGGGGGCCCCTGCCAGCAGCAGCCAGGTTCAGGCTCCGTTGAAATGCAGGCCGAACGGGCGATCGCAGGCCGGGCCTTCGTGGTGGCTGTTTTGCACCCCAGGCTGTGGCCTCCGCCCAGGGCCTCCTCAGAGCCGTTCTGGCAAAGGCTGCAGCCAGGCCCTCACAGCAGGTGCAAGTGCAGGGATGGGGCGGGGCGAACTTGGGGGCAGCTGTGGGCTGGACACGGGCACAGGGTCCGGGGAGAAGAGGGGTCCGAGGCCTTTGGGAGGCGCAGGGTCCGGTAAGGAGTGCAGCTCCTAAAGCAAAGGAGCGTCTGCCCTCGGCCACTGCCTGTTGCTCCGCCGGCTGCCCCTGGACTCACCATCCTGAGGCCAGCTGGGCGGGGCCTCTAGTCACCAGGTCACACTGCACCTGGGACAGGCTGGAGCCCTCCTAGGGTGGCTGAGCTCAAGGCCAGCGGACCACAGGCCCAGGTCCTCCCACCACCCTGCAGGGTCATCACGGAGGGGGCAGGAGGCCCCTGAGGGGCACTGGGCAGGGCAGCTCGAGCTGTTATTTCCATGAGCACCTGCTGGCCAGGAGCAGAGAGGCCACCCGCATCCCCTCTCCCCCTCACCTCGCCCCCCCCCCTCCCCACACACACACCTCTTTCAAGCAGCCAGAGGCAGTGGCTGAAGTCTGTTCGTGTCAGGGTCTGAGCCCTCAGCCCCGCGTGCAGCGGCTGGGGACACGCCTCTGGCTGGCTCCTGTCTCCGGCGCCTGGGTTCCCAGGCTGAGCCCTCAGAACAGAACCTTTAGCCCAACCCCAGCCTGGGATGGAGCCCAGCCCTGCTGCCACCGCTGGCTCTGGGAGCCCACCCTCACCCAGCGCCTCCCTGCGTCCCCACTCTGACCTGGGCTGCACCCGACCCCGGCCCTGGCAGCTCACTCGCCGCACACAGGCGCCCAGGGGGCCAGGGGCAGGGTGCTGCCTGGAGCCCAGCAGGGGCTGAGGCCTCAGCACGGTTGCTGAGTGACTCGGGTTATTGTGCTGTCACCGCCACCTGGAATTCTCCCCCCGCCCCCCACGCCTCCGAGAGGCAGCATCAGGAAGCTACAGGCCATTGCAGCCCCCCACGCCCACCCCGATCCATGACCACCCTGAGGGCTTCCATCCTGGGCAGGGGAGCTGACGGCGAGTGAGCGGCTGTGGCCAACCGGCCTGGAGCAGGAATGGGTGCCAGGAGGCAGACCCTGAGGCTGCCACCTGAAAGCGCCCGGGGCAGGTGGTGACAGGGTTCCCGGCAGTACCGGCAACCTGCCTGGGGGTGATGGCCCAGGCACACCCCAGAGATAGCCAGGGGCATTGCCCCTTCTGCCCCAGGGCCCCAGGGAGACCAGCTGCCCGGAAGGCCTGCGCCAGGCCCAGGTAGGGCTTGTGTGACTGAGGCGGGAGTCTGCGCACCTGGCACGCCTTCCCTGGGGGACTTGGGCCAGGGTGCCCTGCTGTGTGCCTTCTCCCGGGGCCTCAGTTTCCCCACCTGTAGGTGGGCTGGGCTGATCACAGGGCCTACCCAGAGGGGTGCGGTCTGGGGACCACCGTGGGGGCGTGTCATGGCAGCACCATCCTCGTCTGGGTCACAGGAGGCAGGGGCACAGGAGGGGGTGCACCGTCAGAGGCCCCGCTGGGCCCACACTGAGCAGCTGCATCTGCTTCTTCCTCCAAGGGCAGGCGGACTGCGTCCAGCTGCGGCCGAGGAGGCCCTCCCGGCCGCCCGGAGGTGGCCCAGGCCCGCCCCACAGCCAGGTGTCCCTCGGGAGGCGCCCTACGTGGCCTGGACTGGCCACCTGGAGAGGCCGGGCGCTCCAGGACAGGCCTACAGCCGCCCTACGTGGACAGCCGGCGGCGAGACCCAGGACGGGGACAGCTCGGTGTCATCGGGCCGCCTGTCTGGCTCCTCGGGGGGCCACAAGCCGTGTGCACCTGCCCAGAGGCCCTGGAAGGAGAGGCCCCCCCTGGTGCTGGGGTCCCCACGGCAGCACGGGGAGAGCAACCCCCGGCTGGAGCGGCTGAGGGAGAAGATCCGGGCGCAGGCCCGTTGGCAGGCCAGCTGTGCCTCCCTGGGCACCTCGATGCCTTCCAGCGCCTCTCGCCTCCTCCGAGCCTCCCCACTGGCCCCCCGGAGGAAGGTCAGAAAGCTGAAGAAGGCCCCTGCGGCCCCGGCCTGCCCAGGTCAGGACCAGCTTCCCGGGGAGGGTGGGCGGGCCGCGCCGGGACCCTGGGTGTGCCCACTGGGTGCCACAGCCTGGGAGCCGAGTGGGAGGTCAGCCTCTCGGAGGGGCCTCGAGCAGGGCTGTGGCACAGGGAGGGCCAGGCTACTGCCCAGCGACGGGGGGGGGGGGGCCCACAAGGGAGAGGCTGGGGATCTAGAGAAACACCCAATGCAGCGTCCCTGTCAGACAGACGGCCCACACACAGCCTGCGGCTCTGCCCACGGAGCCAGGGCATGGCTCTTTCCAGGAGGCGGGGGTGCTTTCTTCTAAGACGACACTTTGTTTAAAAAAGTCTGAAACGCACACGGTGCTGGCCGTCCCCCACATCTAAGCGCACGGCTCAGCGGCTTCAGGGACGTCCCCACGGTTGTGTGTACGGTTCTCTCCAGGACTTTCCATCCCCCTGACACTCTGCCCGTGAAACACCCAATCCCACCCACCCCAGCCCTGGTCCCACCGTCCACTTCCTGTCCCTGTGGTTTGACTCCTCCTTGTCACTCACATGGGGGACCCCCCGGATTTGTCCTCTCAGGACTTTTTCTTAAAGGAGGGGCAGCCTGTGTATCTGAACGCAGCTGCAAAGCACAGACAGTGAGACGAAAATAGCTGACACCCCGTCTCCCTCCTGGCACCGGCCCTGGTTCATGCTCTGGGGCGCATCCCTCCAAGTCACTCTTCACTTTGCAAATGCTGGCCTTGGCGTGCACACTGGGACGGTCCTTCCCGTGCTGCGTAGTGCCAGCCGCACGAGGCCAAGGATGAGGCACACGGGGCCCTGTCGCCCCAGGCCGCCCCGTGGCGCTGCTCTGGCTGGAAAGTCACGTGGCCTCGAGCTCAGCACCACGAGCAAGGTCGGCCGGTGGATGCACCTGGGCCTGCGGTCTGATCCCAGGGTGCTGTGCTGAGACTGTCGAGCGGCTGCCAAACGGGGACCTCTCCCTTGAGGTCCCGTGGCTCCCCCTCCTCATGGCCCCCGCTCCTTCACTCTCTGCTCCAGGCTTCGGCAACCCAAGTGCAGCTGGGCGTGCCATCCAAGACAAGGCCATCCCTGACCAGGAGCATGTGCCCTCCAGGGGCTCCCAGCGCCGGGCCTCTGGTGAGTGGCTCTGAGGCCAACCATCCTGGCACCTCGGCCCAGGGCAGGCAGGGCTCAGGGCAGGGAGCTGGGGGCGTGTCTCCTTGCTGAGACTCCTGCATGGCTACATGCGCACACTGCACAGGTTCTCCGGGACCTGCCGGCTCGTGGGCTTGCTGCTCATGTCACAGGCAAGAGGCATTGCCTGCCTGGCCCACAGGTGGCCCGGCCAGGCCACGGCCCCACCTTGCTGGGCAGGTGCCCAGGCATTGGCAGTGGGTCAGCCCATTTCCAGGCAGGGTGGCAGAGGCCTAGGGACAAGGGAACCATGAGGGTTTGGCTCACTCATTCACTCAACAGATCAAGGAGTAAGGATGGAAGGTGGACAGGAGCCGCTCCTGGGGGCTGAGGGCAGGAGCCAGGGCGGCGTGGGCTTTGGAAAGTTCCACGGAGGCAGGGGTGAGGTGGGATGGGGCTGTCTGCATAGCCCAGAGAGGCTACAAGAAGTTGGTGACCAAAGTGGGAAGAGGAAAAAGGGCTGGGACCAGAGGTCAGGCTGTCCTGGCCCAGGGGAACACTGAGGGTTTGGGGGGCTGTGGGCAGGAGGAGAGTCAGGAGCCCAGGGGGCAGTTATAGCCTATCGCAGTGTGCCCTGGTGGCTGGGCAGGGAAGGGGGGATGCAAAGGCTGGTCAGCACTCTCATCCAGACCCCCGTGGATGGCAGCCACAGGCATGTTTTGGGGGGTGTCTCACCCTAGTCAGAAGGAAACCCAAGTGCGGGCCCAGCCACCATGCGCCGAGGGGAAGAACCTGTCCCTGACCCAGCTCCAGCCTAACCAAGGGCACCAGCCCCTCCACACGGAGCGGCATGGCCGTCCTCCTCCTCCTGCTTCTGAGATTCAGGACTTGGGGGCCTCAGCGCCCACTGGTGGACAGCTCTGGCAGTCACATTTCATCTGCTGTTTAAGAGCCTCCAGAAGCAGGGTGTGGGCAGGGCCTGGGTCCTGAGGTCCCTCCTGGCAGCAGCGTGGGGCTCTAAGGACCAAGGCTGGACTGCACGCACCAGAGGCCAGTCTTTCCTGAGGGACTGGCCATGTAGACAGGTGGGCTTGGCCTGCTCCCTTGAGCGCACTGGCTTGTTGGCTTCCCCTCCAGTCTGCCCCTGTGGGACTCAGTCTCTGGCCCTTGAGGTCTCCAGCCAGGGGTGGGCTGGGCCGTGGGCAGGCCCCTCTGACTCCAGCTCTCACTCCTGGTCTCCCAGTGTGGCCAGCTGCCATGCCCTGGGTTCCCCCGTGAGCCGGTCAGTTATTTATTCACTCAACACACATGAGTGCCATGGCCAGCTCCAAGTTGGGTGCAGGAGACCAAGATGGGATTCTGTGCAGTCAAGGAGGAGTGGGGAGCCGCCTGCAGGAGTGCTCCTCAGGGGTGCTCCATGTGGAACCTAGAGCGAGGGTGGACAGCCACATGTGCCCCTTGAGCCCTGTGCCCAGCTGCCCACACTAGCATGTAGGACCAGGGAGCAGGGGGACCCCCACGCTGCCCCCTGGAACCTGCTCGGAGCCCCTGTGTGTGTGTCACTGCTCTCCTCCTCTCCCCTCCCCCTCCTCCTCACGCTGAAGCTCCACGGGAGAAACACAGAAGCATGAAGAGTAGTTCTTGCAAAAGAGAGAAGGCCCCCCGGTCATCCCCCAGAAGAACTGCCAAAGACCATGGTGAGGCTGGCGGGGCCGTGAGGGGGCTGTGCAGGGGTTCTGGGGCATGTGGGGGCTGCTGGGGCCAGGCTTGATGGGAGGTCTGCTGAGAACGGGGGAGGCAACGCTGGTGTCTGCACCTCAGGCACCTGCAGGGCTGACACCACCCCCCCAACAGCAGTGGGGCCCACCAGTGCAGGGCCATCCTTGTGACATGGGTGTGAACATCCGCAAACCCCCATGTTAGGTTCCAAAGGCCCTCGGCCACACTTCAACAAGCATTCCCAGTCTGTTCCTCAAGCACACCGGCACGCATGGACACCCATGTGCATGGCAGGCCTAGGACACGTGTGGTTGACGGCATGTCTGCTTCTCAGTTGCATGAGGCCATGTGAGCAGTTATAGGTCCCAACTCCTGGGGCACCAGGAAGACAGGGACATGTGGGATCTGGAATTCCAGGGAGCAAGCTCACCTGGGCATGGTGTGGGGAGTGGTTTGGCAGTGTCCACTGTCTTGCTCCCTTTGGGGAGACGTAGAGCTGTCACCAGGGGGGATGTTGGGGACACATTTGGGCGATGGCTGAGAGCTCTGCTCTGTGGTCTTGGCGGTGGGAGCACCCCCCCCCCCCCCGGCAGCTCCTGGACAAGGTGGGGCCGGGTGAGGCCAGCTCACAGGACTCTGGGTCTAAGACACACAGCTCTTGAGCTGCCCCTACATGTCCTCGTGCCTCAGTTTCCCCCATGGCATGAGCTGACAGCCCTGGGTGGGGGTGGTCCTGAGTGAGGTGGGGACACTGAGGCTGGGTCCCAATGCTGAGGGTAGAGGCAGAACCCCACTCCTGCTGAGAGTGAGGGGTGCTGGGAGACCTGGAGAAGGTTCCAGAAGCCACACTGAAAATGCACAAAACATAAACATTCTCTGCATGGTCCTCGCCCGCTCTCGGCTCTTCGGTTTGTTTTGTTTTCATGGCTCACTTGAAAAATGACCAGCTTTCTGCCCGACACAGGGTCAGAGGGCGCACCTCTGGCCGCATCCATCATCGTCACGCGTGTCTCCCGGATGCACTGACCATCAGTTCCTGTCAGCGGGGAAGGCACAGCTGGGCTAAGGAGGGATGGGTGTGGGGTCAGAGGTCAGAGTCACAGGACTTGGGAATCAGATGAATTAGAAATTTGCTGTCGTTAACAAAAAATTAAATCACAATAGTTATAAAATATTCATCCATCCGCTGGGGGAGAATGAGGCCCGATATTAATTTCAGATGATATCACCTCACTTTGCATTTTTATCATAGATGAGGTCGGCCCCAGGGCTCTGACAGGGCACTGGGGACTTCATCCATTTCTGCAGATTAAAAACTCGCTCGTAAAAAAATTAATTGCCATAAAACTGCTCAGCAGAAGAAAAAATGTGCCCATCAGGACCCATTTATTGACCCGGACCTTCTGGTGGGCTAATGGGGACACTGAGCTCCCCACAAGGAGGGGCCTGTGGGCGGGGTGCCAAGCTGCCTGGCCAGAAATAGCCCCCTTCCACCGGACAGAACAATCTCTCTGGGAAGGCCCAACCCTGGGCCCCCTGGAAATCGAGAGGTGTGTGTGTGTGTTGGGGGGGGGGGGGCAGTCCCAGCCTTTGCCTCTGCCCTGAGCCAGCTGAATCCTGAGCTGCTGGCCCAACTCCTGTAGAGGTTGTGGCTGCTTTTCCATCCTTACAGCTCTGTGGGAGGGTGCTTACCGAGGGGTGACTAAGGAGGGAGAAGTCAATGGCCCTAGGCCCATAGCTAATGATGGGCAGAGCTGGAGTCTAAACCTGATCTGAGACCAAACTCTTAACCTCCGGTGTCCCAGGGGCCGGGGCTGGAGGGCAGCCACAGTGGGCTAGGGTGGGGCAGCGGTGGCAATGTGTCCTGGAGGGGAGTGGCTTCCTGTCCTGTCCTATCGGGGCATAGCTTATGGAAGACCCAGACCCCAGGGGGCATGTTTCCAGAGGGTCATGGCCTTACAAAAGTGTGTGACTTAGCGGGCAGGGTCTGGGGACTTATTCCAGAGAGGTGTGGCCCGGACGTGGCCTTAGGGGATTTCCAGGGGCATGGCCTCTGGAGAGCATAGCTGTGTGGCCTTCCTCTCCAGGAAGCCCAGCTTCAGGCCTCGCTGATGTGTCCGGCTGGGCCCTGGGAGGGACCCCTCTGGGGCACGTCTGCTGGCAAGGCCTGACCCTGCCTGGGCCCCTGCCCTGGGCAGGCAGCTCTCTGGAGGGTCTCTGCTGTGAAGCTCTCTGGTTGGCAGGAAGCCCCTTCTTGGGGGACAGGACAATTTTTGGCCAGGCAACTGTTTCCCTTGGTTTGCCGCCAGGGGGAGGGCAGTGAGTGCCTTTGTGTGTCTGTGAGCATCTCTGTGTGTGCACGTGTTTTCCCGTGCATCTCTGTGTGTACATCTCTGTGTGCATGCCACGGTGTCTCTATGTGCATGTGTGTACACGCATCTCTGTGCATGTGTCTGTGAGCATCTCTGTGTGTGCATGAGTGTGTGTCTGTGTGAATGTGTCTGATGTGTGCATGTGTGTGCAAGCTAAAGGCAGGCTGCTGCTCATGCCTCTGCAGGGCCCTGGTGGATGGGTTTGTAATGAGGTGGGATGATATTGGCATTTGGTGTGTGTAACCTGGATTATGAAGTAAAACCTTGGTAAGTGATGCTCAGTATGTGACAAGCATGTCTGCATCTGGGACACACTCTCTTGGTCCCCTCATCCTGCCATCCTGGGTACCTTCATGGCCCCCAGCCCCTGTTGTCTCTGAGTGTGACCAGCTTAAAAGACATGAATGGCCTTCAGCTCAGTCCCAGGGACCAGCTGTGACATTACCCGCCTGTCTGCCCTGTGTGGGCTGGTGGCTTGTTACCGTCACCATTGTTATGATTATCAGGCGGCACTAAACGTGCTGCATGGACGTGGGGGCCTGTGTTGAGGTTTTACAGACAGAGCCGTAGGAAGAACACATCTTCTTCCGTTCTGGGGCCAGAGTCTGAAATCAGGGTGTCGGGGCTGTGCTCTGTCATAGGGCTCCAGGGGAGGGTCCTTCATTCCTTTTTATTTTATTTTTTAATATATTTTATTGATTTTTTACAGAGAGGAAGGGAGAGAGATAGAGAGCTAGAAACGTCGATGAGAGAGAAACATCGACCAGCTGCCTCCTGCACACCCCCTACCGGGGATGTGCCCGCAACCAATGTACATGTCCCTGACTGGAATCGAACCTGGGACCTTTCAGTCCACAGACAGATGCTCTACCGCTGAGCCAAACCGGTTTGGGCCTTCCTTCCTTTTTAGCTTCTGGGGCTCCTGGTAGCCTCCTTTCAATCTTCACGTGGCCCCGCCCCCTCATTCACGTGCCCACTTCTGGTTGATCATGAGACCCCATCCCTGTTCACATGACCACTCCCCTTATTCAGGTGGTCATGCCCCCCATTCACATGACCATAAAAATGTAAAAAACATTCAAACCTGAAATGAATTTTTGTGAGTTTATTTGAGCCAAATTCTCAACAATTGCTGGGAAGCAGGATCTCAATATCTATAATAATAAAAGGTAAATATGCAAATTGACCAAATGGCCAAACACGAACGACTGTTCAGACGAGCACACTACGACATGCACTGGCACCAGGCCAGCCAAGGCCGGTGTGATGCAATTGGCCCACCATCCCCCCACCATCCTCCCACCATCCCCCCACCATCTCCCCACCATCCCCCTGCAGAGGGAGGCCCAGGCCACCAGCCAGTGGGGTGATCAATCAGGGGGGCTCAAGATTGCCCTGCAGAGAGGTCTAGGTTAGCAGCCAAGGGGGCGATCAATTAGGGGGTCCATGATTGCCCCACAGAGGTTGGCCCAGGCCACTGGCCAGGGGGCGATCAATTGGGGGTGGGGGGGCTCTGTGGAACCAGGGAACAAGGGGAGGGGGTGGGGTGGTGGCAGTGGACGTGGACAGCACCAAGCCAAGGTGGGTGTGGGTGCGGGGGTGAAGCCACAAGGCAGCCAGGGCTGCGAAGGCACGAATTTTGTGCATCAGGCCCCTAGAACTGGGATAATGTCCAGAGAATGGTAGCATTTTGTTTTATAAATTACCATCAAAGGCAGAGGTGTAAGTGGGTCACATGAAATCCATTGCTGATAGATGAGGGAGGCGGAAGAAAGCAAAGAGGAGACACTTCTGGGATTGGATAAAAAGTAAACATACTGCTTTTACTTAGGTGGGTGCAGGATAGTTAATGGCCAACAATTAACATGAAAATAACAATGAGGGGATTTAAGGTCTTGGCCCTGGGCCCTGGCGTATTGGTTGTGCCCTGTCGGGTCCAGAAAATGGGGAATTTACCTGATATTTCAGAGGTATGTTCTCTTAGATGCAAAAAGACAATAGGTTCACATAAGAACTACCCACCATAGGCTATTTTTTTTTGTTTTATATAAATATATTTTTTATTGATTTCAGAGAGGAAGGAAGAGTGAGAGAAACATCAATGAGGAGAGAGAATCATGGATTGGCTGCCTCCTGCATGCCCCCGACTGGGAATCAGGCCCACAACCCAGGCATGTGCCTTTGACCAGAATCTAACCCAGGACCCTTCAGTCCGCAGACTGACGCTTTATCCACCGAATCAAACTGGCTAAGGCTGCTTTTTACTTTACCACGTTTAATTTCAGACCATCATTTGTGGTTACTTTAGGTCTTAGACTTTGCAGAACTGCCATACCAGCCTTCCTGAGATAGTCAGGTTAGCATGTGGCCTTTTCTCATCCACAATTGCAACCCATGATAATACAATCACACCCATGGCCACACTCGAGTGTTCAGGTGGTCCCTCCTCCATCCTCACAGGACCCCTCCTTCTTCCTTACCTAGCCCATCCTCTGTCTTCACCTGACCCCTCCTCTGAGGTGGGGAGACCAGGGGTCAGGCAAGGTGGCCAAGCAAGGTCCTGAGGGGGCACGAAGGGAGAGCTGCGATGTGTGGCTCCGGATGCAGTGGTGTGTTAGGGAGGGTGGGGGGAGAGCCAGCAGAGGAAGGCTGGCTGAGCCAGAAGGCAGGGTCTCGTTCCCACCTCCTCTGCACACATGCACAGACACACTGGCTCCGTTTACACCCCTGCCCTCCAAGGCCCAGGCCGGGGAAGGCTACTACAATGCCCTCATGACTTCCTGCCCAGGACCCTCCCCTTCCCCAATCCAGGCAGCGAGTGTGGAAACAGCCTTTCCTGCAGGCAGGGCTTCCCCGCCCACTGCCACCCCACCCCTGCTGTCACGGGAGCCAGTCTCCCGGGCTGCAAAGAGCCGCTGCCTTCCCCCGGGGCAGCTCTCCTGTGTTTTCTGTTTAAGATTCTGAGTTGGTTGGTGTTTACGCCTGGAGGAAAGGACAAGCCCTGGTGCGGGGGCTGCTCGGGCCCCCTCCCGCCCTCCCCAGGCTCCAGAGCAAGGCCCCCTCAGGAGCGCCGTTCCCCGCCGCCGAATTAGGTACCTTGTGCCTCTCCACGCATGCCTGCGGACTCCCCTGCTCCGCTGCCGAATCTGGTGGGCACGGCCCCATGCCGCCGCGAAGGAGGGGGCATCGGTGCCTGAGCAGCGCCCCCCAGTGACGTGCCAATGCCCTGCAAACTCCACCAGACGGGACCTGGGGAAACCGTCCTATTGAGAAGGGTTTCAGTCCCCAAAAGGCACCCCTTTGGCTCCGGGAAGGCTGGGCACGGCTCTCCTGACTTAGGGTCCTCCCAGACACCCATCCCCCAGGTGTGCTCAGTGCTCACCAAGTGCCAGGCACAGCCTCACGGCACCCTCGGGGCTTCTGTGAGTCAGAGATGGATGAGCAGAGACCAGGGGGGTCCTGGGGGTGGGCATGGGTGCCTCTGAGCCCTGCAGGTCCACCCCCAGTGACTGCCTGTCTTTGAAGGAGACACAGAAGACCCCGCTGGCCCCCGGATGCCCCGTCCAGCCGTGGTCCACAGTGACCCCCAGGGGTTCGCCCACACGTCTAACCCGGTGTCCTGCCACGAGGCTGGGAGCATCCAGTCCGCCATGGCCGTCCTGAAGGACCTCCGCAAGCAGATGCAGGAGGGGCTGGAGCTGGCCCAGGACCATCGCCACAGGGGAGGGCAGGAGCGCCGGCAGCTGGCCGGGAGGAGGCCCCAGGGCCACTGGAGTGCCCCGGACGTGCGTTCCTCCCTCCACAGGAGCTCTGCCGGCCCAGCAAAGGGGGCGCACTGCTCCTCCTCAGAGTGTGCCAGGAGCACCTCCACCAGGCAGTGCTGGGGCGCCTCGACCAGGAGGGAGTCCTCTCCGCAGAGGACCTGGTTCCCCCAAGGACGGGACCCCACCTTCCAGAGGCCTGGGAGCCCCCCAGAGAGGCCCTGGAGTGCCTTGGCTGGGCAGATGGCCAGGGTCCCCTGCAAAGACTGGGAGGCCTCTCCCCGAGGACCCTGGAGCCCTCCCGCCCAGCGGTCCTGGAGCGCCTCCTTCGTGAAAAGGGCCAGTGCCCCAGTCCAGGGCAGAGCCCACCCCTGGCCCAGGCCCGCCCAGAGCACCTCTCAGCTGGCACCCCGACAGGAGCAGGATGCTCGGCTGCCGCCGCCCTGCCCAAAGCCCCGGGGGTCCCTGGGCCTCCCATACAGCCCCGCGTCCCTGCGGGAGTTCATGCGCCAGAAGGCCCTGGCACGCCAGCAGCAGGTCCTGGAGGAGAAGGCCGCAGCCGTGCAGGCACGGGAGCTGAGAAGCCAGCGGCTGCAGGACGTGTACAGGCAGCAGAGGGAGGCCGTGCGGGGCAGGGCCGGCCCCGCCCCCACCAAGGCCTTCCCCCTGGTCTCCCAGACGACCCCCAGCATCGTGACCTTCATCCCGCACTCAGCAACGTCCAGGGTAGGCACCCGGGCGCGGAGGGGTGTGGACTGACTCAGGCTCCCACCCCCGGGGCCCCGGGGGCCCATCTGCCCCCGGGGTGAGTGGGCTCTGGAGGGATCCCAGTGACTGTCCCAGCCCTAGAGAGGAAGGATGGAGGGGTCCGGCCGGAGGCCCCGGGGCCAGGGCCAGGGTGTCAGGGTCTGTCTGGGTGAGACTCTGACTGCACTCGCCTGCTCCAGGCCCAGGACGCGGCCGGGAGCGAGGGGTCGCCAGCGCAGCAGTGGAGCAAGGTGACCTCCGGCATGGTGCTGGGGGAACAGGAGGCCCCAGGCAGGTGAGTATCGGGGGGCTGCACTTCCTGGGCCCTGGGCCACACAGCCTGGCCATCTCATGAGGGAGCCTCATTCCACATCGAGGTCGCCACTCCCAGTGGACAGTCGTGCATTTAGTGCTTTCCCTGTGCATCCAGAGCCTGTCAGTTCTAAACCCTTCCATCGATCGCCCAGGAGAAACACCCATTGGCCCACCCTCCCTGCACCCCATTCCTCCCTCCTGCACATTCTGTGTTCTGGGCACTGGCCGTGGTTCAGGCTCCTCTCTCAGAGCACGTTTTCTGGGCCTATCCCTGTGTGTCGTGGTCAGGACTGCCTGCCTTCTCCAGACTTCATGGCATTCCCCGGAGGTGGACAGGTTTGGCTTCCATCAGGGGCATGGGTGTGTCCACCTCTGGCTGCTGTGGAAACTGAACTGGAGACATGGTGTGCGTCTCGGAGCCTGCACTCAGGCCTATAGTGTGGACCCAGTGTGGGGCTGCTGGGTCACAGGGTCGCCTCACGCTGGCCTTCTGAGGAACTGCCACTGTTCTCCACAGCGGCCACGCCTCATCCATTCCCACCCGGTCCGTTCTGCCAGCAGCGCCCAGGGTTCCCGTCTCCGCGTCCTCGCGACGTTTCCTTGTTTTGTTCACAGCGGCCATCCTGTGGGTGAGGCGGGGCCTCCCGTGGTTTCGTTTGCGTTTCCCAGTGACCTTGGCACTGAGCATCTTCCCACGTGCTGGCCGGCGGCTTCTGTCTCCCGAGGAAGGGCCCTCCGCCCTTGGCTGCCTGTGGTGGTTACTGGGCTTCTTGTTGGGCTGCAGGTGCTCTGTGTACAGCCTGGTCCTAACCCTGTGGCCACAGGGCCTCTGAGTTCCCGCTCATGCCTTCGGCCGCCGTCTCTCTCTGCGCGATGTGTCCTTTAGTGCTCGGAGGCTTTTCACTGCGAAGCAGCCAGTCTACCTGTGTCTCCTGCTGTCTGTTTTGGTGGCACATTCAAGAAACGGCCACTGGCTGTCCTAGCTCTTACCGTGGCGGGCGGGCACATGGCTGCTCCGTACCAGCCCCCGGCAAACACGGACCGTGTGAGCACCCCCTGGGTCTGCCCCGGAAGCATTGCCATACTCAGCGCCTGCACACGCATGTTTCGCACATGCCAATGGACCCATACAGGCAGCAGAGGAAGGCCGTGCTGGGCCTCCCTGACCCTCGCACCCCTGTCCCCACAGCTTCTGCCTGTGTCTGGACCGAGCCTTGGACCATGAGCCTCTGGAGACAGGAGAACCCCAGGAAGGCTGGGTGGGAGCTCCCCTGCCAACGTCTGCTGGCTCCCCCTCGGGTCCCCTGAAGCTCCAGGACCTGACCGCCCGCCACCCGCGCCCAGGGCTGTGCATCTACCTGGGCCCCGAGGAGGCTGAGCACCTGGGCACGCAGGGCCCCCTGCACTTCAGCTACAAGCAGGCCCGGCTGCAGGCCCTGGAGACCATGGCCAACGTCCTAAAGCAGCGCATCGACCTCCTGACCGCCAAGCTGCTCAGGGCCGACGCCACGGACACTCTGGAGGGCCTGCCCTCGAACCTGCCGCCCTCACACCCCGACACTCACAGTGCCAGCCTGCCCCCGGGCCTTGGCACCCCCAAGCCAGTGATGCCAGCCTGCTCCCGAACCTTGGTGCCCGACGCGGGCACAGGGTCTCCCTGGCGCTGGGCAGACGTGCGTGCCAGGCTGCTGCTCTCTCCCGCCTGCTTGCCGGACAGAGAGATGCCGCTGTGGAGTCCTGGCTGGGAGCAGCGGAGGAGCGTGAGCCCCGGGGCCTGCCTGGCCTCCTCGCCCCCCGGTTAGCCTCACACGCCCCAGCCAAGACCTGCTCGCTGGGAGCCCCGCTTTCCCTGCCCCTCGGTTTCTTCTCCCGGGAGGGAATGTGTGGACAATACACAGCTGTTGTCACAGAGAAGGTGGTGTAGGGATTGGCACGTAGGTTCCCGTCATCTGCACTGTTGCCATGCGTGTCTCTGGCTGGAGATGGGGTGAGGCTGGTCCTGAGGCTTGTGTGCCTGGCACCTCCCCACCCTGTTCCCTAAGCCAGGCCAGAAGGAGAAGGGGGCACTGGTGACAGGCTCCTGGCGCCTCCTGCTGAGGGGCAGGTGCCCTCCCCCCTCCCCTCTCCCCCTCCCTCCTCATTTCCACCTCCCTTGCTCCCCACCAGCCTCGCTCCCCTCCTCCCTGGTGCCCACACCTGGGAAGTGACGTCTGGGTGCCCATGTCTCCACAGGCTCCACGGAGGATGGATGTTTGGAGCGGGACTGGAGGCTGGCAAGAGACACAGCTTCTGTCCAGGCCCTCGGCCCCCTGGCAGGGAGGTAAGCCCATGAGCAGCCCTGGGTCCGGCAGTGCTGGGAGCAGTGGCTGCATCCAGGCCTGGCAGGGGGGCCACACAGCCCTGACGCTCCTGCAGTGTCGGGCTGGCCAGACAGTGGTCCTGCCATTCTGTGGCTGACCCAGGGCCTGCAGTGCGGAGCAGCCCGATGCACCCTCCCCCGCTCCTTGCACAGCTCCTGGCCCAGGGGACACTGTCGGCCAAGCTCTCCTGTGTCCCTGGTGTGTTTGGCCTCCACTGACTGTCCAGGGGACACTGAGGCAGGGGCACCTGCATCCGGGTTCCACTTCCGTGTCTGAGTCCTCACGACCAGCGGCCTCAGGCCCTGCACCCCTCATATCACCCACCCCCAGCAGTGGCTTGGCCTTCTCTGGCAGCCGCGTCATGCAGGTCCCTACAGGAGACCCTGGGTCCCGTGGCAGACAGACCGGCCACAGGGCTGTCTTGGCAAACCCACAGGGTCTGCAGTCTTGGCACCGGTGTGAGGGGCCTCAAAGGGTTCAGAACTTATTAACACAGACCTAAGCGGCAGGCGGGATTGTGGTTGGGGCAGCATGAAGTGGAGACTACAGGTGGGCATTTAGGTCTCTGGGGAGATGGGGTCCTGATACCCAGGGCACCCCAGGTGGTGCAGTGCAAACCCCAATCTGTAGTTCTAGCCATTGACCTTGAACAGAGTCACCTGCCCCCTGCGAGTCTCAGAACCTGGCAATGGGGATCTCAGAACCTCAAATGGGGACACAATTCCCCCAACAACACCTCTACCCCTCCCCTCCCCTCTGCTCCCCTCCCCTTCCCTCGCCTCTCCTCTGGGGACAATTCCCTGCTACTGCACCTCTCCTGCCTGTCACCCAAGGAATCTCCACCCATCCTGCCTTCCTAAAGCCCCCCTTAGCCTCGCCAGGGGGAGGCTGTTTGGTCCTTTGGGGTGAGTCTTATCTTGCCCCCTTCCCTACCTACCCAGGCCCAGCCTCAGCCTGGTCAGTGGAATGGGACATTCCTACCAGAAGGGGGCAGCATTGGGCTGGACATCTCTTCCCAGCACACACCTGCTCCCCTCTGGTCCTTCAGAAGGGGCGGTCAGGCGGTGTGTGTGTGTGTGTGTGTGTGTGTGTGTGTGTGTGTGTGTCCTGAGAGGTTAGTGGGGAAGCCTGACTCCAAAGAGGCCGCCTGCATCTGCATGTCTTGAGGCAGATGGCCAGCAAGGCCCGTGGGCCTGTCCCAGGCCTCAGCCTTCCCACCTGGCCCGTGGGCCCCTCTCCCCAAAGCAGCACCAGGTCAGCCGGGAAGCAGCCCCTGGGCCCATCCGTTGCCTCCGCGGCATCTGGGCTCAGCCCTAGTGCTGCTCGTCTTTCTGGGACCCTCTTCCATATCACCTCCCTGCATGTTCACGGGTGGGACTGGGCACAGGTCATACAGACAGCAGCTGCCACCTGTGCCTCGGGGCCCCAAGGGCTGATGGAGGGGGCCCTCTGGGGGCACAGGGCCCTGAATGGGGCGGCGGGGGGAGGGGGGGCACTGCAGGGTCCTCTCCAGGAGCAGTGCAGGGGCCTGGGCAAACCCTTCCAGAGATGCCAGATGGCCGGCATCCCTGGGCCCAACACAGGGTTCTCGCCACCAACTGCCAGCGGCAGGCTGGGTGCCCCCCCACTGAGTGCTGTGGTCCCAGCTGGGAACCAAAGGGTGGAAGAGGTTGTCTCCTACACCCACACGACAGGTGCAGGACAAACCTGTGCCTCGGGGCCCCGAGGGCTGACAGAGGGGGCCAAGCCCCACCCGTCCCCATGGCCACGGGTGGGTGTAGCCGGCATCTTCAGCCACTTCCTGGTGGACATGTGCCAGGAAGTGCAGGCTGTTCTCGGAGGCACAGGCTCAGCACCCAGGGCAGCAGTGGCCTGCGGCCAAGGTCACTGGGATCCTGGCCCAGTGCCCGTGGTGATGTAGAGGCCTGCACTCCTGTGATGCTGGGCCCCCAGGGCTGAGCGCAGAGCCCCAGGTTCTGCTTCTCAGGGGAGACCCCGCCAAGCTGGGGTGTCAGCACCTGCAGGCCAGCCCGCTTGATCCGCCCTCCTGGCCCTGTGGTGACAGGCATGTCCTGGACACAGTGAGAGTCTGAGAGCTCTGCTGGCATCGGAAGGCCAGCTCCCATCCCCAGCCCTGCCACTGACTCCTACCTGCCCACCTGCTCACATGCGTGTTTGCGTGTTTGTCCCCAGCTCGCTCGAGGTGCCATCCCCGCCGGACCCCACCTGTGGCTCGCTGTGGCTGGAGGAGATGCCGTCAGCCAGAGGGGCAGGCTTGGTCACGCCCTGGACCCTGCAGAGCTGCGGTAAGGGCGAGCCTCCAGACAGGCCCTGTGCTGGCTGGTGGGGTGCCCGAGGAGGCCCTTCAGGGACCCCCTCCACAGCCAGCCACTCCGGCGAGGTCCTGCTCTTGTAGAGACCCTTTTGTAAGTGGAGAGCATCCCTGTTTCAGTATTAAAGTGTTTGGAGGGTTTGGGACCAGCCACCACTGTGCTCTGTTGTGGCTGATACTGGCTTCGAGGGACAGGCAGCGGCGTGCACCCCAGCCCCCGCATCCCTGTGCTGTATCAGCCACACATGGGGGCGGGACATGGGGTGGTGTCTGGGCTGGGCAGCGCTGCCTGGTGAGGGTGTGAGACTAGAGCCAGGAGCAGAGAGGGGCCTCCCAACACCCCCAGGGAGGGCATCGGGCACTGAACGGACAAAGCGCCTGAACTGCAGACACAAATCGGTCTGGAAGTGCGAGTGTTCGCACTGACTCCTTCCCTAGAGGAATATTCTGGGAGTGGCGTGGGTGCCCGGGCGAGGATGGGCAGAGCGGGCGTGGGCAGCCCTTTCTGCAGAGCTGCCCCTCCACAGGTGCCTGCTGAGGGAAGGAGGGACCTGGGTGGAGGCTGCCCCTCCCCAGACCACGGGGGCCTCAGGCTCCAGGGGCCCATCCACACCTGCTGGACCTCCCAGGAAGAAGACAGGGCAGAGCTGCCCTGAAAGCAGCCTCCTGAGCCACTCCTGGTCAGGGTGGGCTTAGCTGTCGCTGGGGCCGGGCAGCATCCACAGGCTGGCCCTCGGCAGCCAGGTGCCAGGGCTTCCAGCACAGCCAGCATGCTCCCTGCCCCGCCTCAGGAGGGAGCAGTTGGGACGTGGCCTCATCGCCTCTCCTGGAATTCAGCAGGCTCTCTATCCGGGGCACAGGCAGCCTCAAGAGTCATTTGAAATCTGGGCGGATCCTGCCTGAGTGGCTGAGGGCAGGGCTCAGGTAGCCAGATCCAGCGGCAAACACAACCCAGAGCCTGTGCTGAGCTCCCGTCAGACACCTCCTCCAGACACGCCTCCGGGAAAGCACTCAGGGGTCACTCACCGCCTTCGCCTGCTCTGCGGGTGTCAAACTCCTGCTTGTGCCCCTGTCTGGGTGGCAAAGCGGATTCAGACCCAGCTCCGAATCGGCTACCTCCCTTATTTACCAAGGGAAGTAGTGCTGTCCTACAGAATCTTCTGGACTCACAGGCCTCGGCCAGCACTGCCCAACAGAACTTCCTTTCTAACCTCACACAGCATTATCTCGACAGAACCTTCTGGAATGAGGGAAATGGTCTAAATGGTGGGGTCTCCCTTAGGGCAGCCACCAGCCACCTGTGGCTCTGTAGCCATTAAAGGACCTTGCACTTCATTTCCTGTGGATTTCAGTGCACACGGAGCAGTGCCGTGGCTGTAGCCATGGCCGTGGCCGTGGCCGTGGCCATGGCCACCATGAGGGAGAACACAACCCTGGCTTCACACACAGGGCTCTCCCAGACAGACAGACAGGGATGGGCGTCAGCTGCTCTCTGGTTGGGAGCCGACTCCCCGACTCCGTACCTGAGAGCATGCCTCTTCCTCGTCACCATCGTCATCACCACCACCACCACCACCACTAACACCGGTGATCCTAATGGCACTTACCAAACCTCTCACTGGATCCTCAGCTTCCAACTCCTCACCAAGCGTCTCCAGAGGACTTGGGAAGCGAGGCAGCACCCTCCTCTGCTCAGTGGGTGACTCGGAAAGTCTCAGGGGCTGCCATCTGCTTGGCCACCCAGGGCCAGGGCCAGGCCAGGCAGGGACAGCTTGCTTTTCCCAGGTCACAGCCCCGAGCTCTGTGAGGACCGCTCTGGGATGCTGTGTGACCAGACGTGACCAGGAACTCCCCTCCTCGGGCTGCAGGGCCGGGGCCTGGAGGAGAGCCCACGGGAGCCAGGCAGTGGCCAGGGTGAGGCACCAGCACCTTCTCTCAGCCCTCAGGGCACAACAAAAGTCGGGGGATTTTCCTCTCGAAGGACTTTGGCTCGGACAAACCAGTTCCTGAAAGTGTCTCGGTTCCCAAGGAGACCGGTCCACTCGAAGTAGGAGGGGGACCCCGGCATCGCCCCAAGTGCTCCACGCACACCAGGTGGCCAGAGCCCTCGCTTCCCGTCCAGGCTGGTGCCTCAGTTTCCCAGCAGCCATGGAAACACCCGGAGCTGGATCAGCTCTTGCTTACAGCTCTTCGACCTTATGCCCTGGCAGAGGAGAGCAGAGCCGCTCTGCCCGGAAAAGAGAGGGTGGGCAGGACACTCTCCTCTCGGCACAAGCGCCAGCGATGACTGAGGAGCTCGACCGAGAGTCCAGGAAGACTCTGCCGTCCTCAGACCCGGGCCCGGGCCCCGGGAAGCCGAGGCCTCCGTAGCCCCTGCCAGCTCACAGGGCCCAGGACAGGAGACGGGCTCGGGGAGGACGGAGCTCACAGCTGCCCCAGGGCCGTGTCCGCAGGGCTGGGGGAGGAGCGGCGTGCAGGCCCGGACTGGGCCCGTGAAGCCACCGAGGGAAGAGCAGCCTCCGCTGCCTCCCTCACCCCGGGGAGGCGGCAGTTCCCATGCTCATGCTCCGGAGGAAGCCCAGCAACCCGACCGGGGACCTGTTCCAGTGTCACGGGGCCCGGCCATGGCCACCCTGCACTGTGCCGACAGCCACCACAGCTGAGCCTGTACTACTGCGCCCCCCGCCCTTTCACACACACACACGCACGCACGCACACACACACACAGGCAGCAGGAAACTCCGCTCCCCACAGAGGCTCTGGGGGGCTGCTGGTTTGGTCCAGGTCACCCACAAACCCATGGCAAGTGAGGCCTGCCTGGTGGCACCATGCTATCACCTCTGCAGGGTCGGGGTGGGGTCGGGGTGGGGGAGCATGGCTGGGTCAGGCCAAGCGAGCCCCTCGGTGTCCAGGGGAGGCAGCAGCGTCTGTCTCCCCTCTGGCTGCAGCCTCTCCCACCTCCTCTGGCTCGGACGCCCTCCTTTGTGGGGGAAGGGGATGGACTCCCTTCCCTGCAGGTCAGAGAGAGAGGCTGAGCCAGAGGCTGAGTGGACGCGGAGACCCAGGTGCTCAGCCCATCCCCCCTGTGCTTGCAGGTCAGCAGGAGCCTGGCAGGCGCTTCTCAGACCTCCAACAGAAGTCCCTGAGCTTCCTCCAGACCCTGAAGGTGTGTCCCACCCGCTGTCCCTCTTTAGGCCTTTTCTGTTTGAGGTAAGTGGGGCACAGCCTTTGCCCCCCGGAAGCTGAGCAGAAGAGGCTCTGAAGCCGGGACCTCCGGGGTTTACAGCTGCAGCCTTCAGGGGGAGGCTGGGAGGGAGGGAGAGGCCGACCGTCAGACTGGCCCAGGACACCCAGGGCACGGGGATCTGGGGTTGGGTCCCTGCTAAGACTGGGGTCCTTTGGGGCCCCTCCTGTTCTCTGAGGAGGCACCCCTTGCCCTCTTGCCAAAGTGTGGCAGAGTGGGGAGGAGCAGGCTGGGGACAGAGGCCTGAGGCTGGGCCCTCCCTACAGCTGGATCAGCAGAAGCAGGAGCAGGCCCTGGCCCTTCTGCGGCAGCGGGCGGAGCTGGAGGTCTGGGAGACCCAGAAGGCCCTGGATGAGCTGCTCTCCAAACACCGGCTGGCGGTGAGCCTGGCTTTGCCCCACACCTGCCCCTCTGAGCCGGCACGTTCAGCCCCAGCAGACAGGCAGCGCTGGTGGTCGAGGTGGTGCAGAGAGCACCCCAGGCCAGCAGGGTGAGGACCAGGAGGGTGATGTCATGATCTGGTCAGACGGGGCGAGCCTTATCAGAAGTGACTCTTCTCCGTATCTGGGGACTGTTGGTGGATGTTCTTATGCAGACATTTAGGGAGGCGTTCTCAGGCGAGCAACCAGGTGTGGGTGTGGGTGTGTGCACGTGAGTGTGTGTGTGTGTATGTGTGTGTTTCCTGGACCGTTTCCCTTTCTCTCTACCCCTCTTCCTATTTCCTGCATCGCACCTGCTGGGCAACTGCTGCTCCCCGAGAACCTTCCAAAGCCACCCTGGCTGTCCACCCCCCCCCCCCCACGGTGGAGGCCCGCCCCGGCCTGACTGTGTCTGCTGGACACCTGCCACCCTCCCCATAACCGGCCCCCCTCTAGGCACCTGGCCAGGCCCACTGGCTGGGAGGTTGCCCTTAATCCTCCACACACACACACCTGTCCTCAGAGGCGGATGGAGAAGCACAAGACCCAGGCCAGGCCAGGAGCAGCACCAGAGCTGGAGGGGCTGCGGCCGTGGGCAGGCCTGGATCCGAAGCCACCCTGGAGCGCTGTGACGGCCAGAGCCAGGTGTGTCCGAGGTTGGGACGGTGGTGCCCGCCCAACGTGGAAGGTGAGGTGGGGGGTCTCAGACAGGCGAGGTACTGGTGCTGCTGGAGGGAGTCCCCAGCGCCTCCTCTCCTGGCAGGTCCCAGCCGTCCATGGGCAGAGACACTGCTGCGCCCTCCTGGGGCCCGGAGAAAGTACAGGAGCAGCCGGTCGGCCAGTCAACCTATGCGGGTGAGAGTCCTCAAAACCAGCCACCTCACGTGCTCAGCCAAGCTCCCTGCATGGGCCCGAGGGAAGTGAGTCAGGCACACCCTGGAGAGGCCCGGAGAGATGAAGGGACTTGACACTAAGTTCATCTGATGCCAGAACCACGATTGGCCCGGGCACCCATGGGGCCTGGGCGACTGGGAGAAGACAGCAGGCAGGCTCGGTGGGCACCGTTTCCACTGCTCTCTGTCCCTCACTGTAGAGCTGACTTCCTCTCCGGCATCATCATCCTGCTGCTTGAAGGACCTCCTTTAACATGTTGAGGGCCCTGTTCGCTGGTGTCCTTTTGTGTACTCTGCCCGAGTCCCAGAATCTCGAGGTTCTGAGCCTGGCAGGTGGGGACAGACGTGCTCCTCGGCGCCTGGTCCTCCAGGGCTTCATTCCCGGGCATCGGGGTTCCCCGCGGGCACCCCCAATGGCTCCAGGATGAGGGGACAGGCCAGTCTCCAGGCCTCTCTCCTTCCTGATGCTCAGCCCACCAGCTCTGGCTGCCTCATCTCTCCACACTCACAGCTCCACTTCTCTACCAGGTGTCTGCCGGCTCTGCCTAGTTTCCCCTCCACAAGCAGCAGCAAAAGCCTCACGGACAGGCAGCTGTGACAAACAGAGGTCTTACCTGCCTGGCTTTTGTCTCTCAGGGATGAGTGTGCAGGCTTGCTTGTTGTGCCTGGAAAACTGTTCTTTCGTGTGTGTGTGTGTGTGTGTGTGAACATGTAAGCGCATGTATGGGAAAATATAAACGTGTGTGGGAACATGGTGTCTGTAGATAGGCGTACAGGCACCATGTTTTTGTTTTTTCTCGGTGGGACATTAAGTCCACACTCCCACTCTCTTGGCACTCTCCTGGCTGAGGCCAGAGCCTGGTATGACCTCAGAAGCACAGGGTCCGTTTCCCATCACACCCAGCACCGAAGGCGGCCAGTGGTGTCAGCGGCCAGACCTGACTCAGCTGGGAGTGTGGGCTCTGCTGTTACCCCACCTGCTGGTGCTGAACCTCAAAAGGGCCGTTCTTTCTCTCTGGGCCTCTGTCTCCCGTCTGTGGAAGTGCAGCAGCTGGGCCCAGGCACCCCGAACCCCTCTACCTGGGACTGGGTTTCTGCAGGGTCAGTGGGCTCACACACCAGAACTTCATGTCAGGCAAAGTGACGCGACTCCTTTTGGCGCGGCCTCGTGGCTGGCGTGCAGCTGTGTGGATGGGGCATCACGTTGCCGCCGATACCCCACCTCTGGGGCCCTCCCGAGAAGCAGCCCTGGAGCCCCTCGGGGCCCAGCCCTGCCGCTTTCTCTCTGCCCTCAGCGCCCCTGCAGGAACCGATGCCAGGACACGCCCCGGCGCAGCTGCCCCTGGCCAGGCTCTACCCTTGGGACCACCCTGTTCACCAGGTACAGGAGACACCCCAGGGGGAGAGCATAGGAGTGGGGTGCAGGGGAGGCACTGGCAGCCTCCAACCCTCCCTCAGCTGCCTCTCTGGAGCCTGCACCCAGATTCCCCCACAGGGGTCCTTGCTTGGGGGAAGCTCTCCCTGCCATGGCATCCCCCACCCTTCCAGCTGACATCCACCCAGGCCCCTTCCTCCCACCCAGGCCCCTTCCTCCCTCCCACCCTTCCTCCCACCCAGGCTGTTCTCTGTTGGGGTGAGAGCAGGTGTTTATACCGGCGCCTGGGGCAGGGCTGGCCTCCACCAGGCTGCACATTGCAGAGCGGGCAGCCGGGCTCTCAGACCCTCTGGAGCACAAACAGGGGCCTGGATTGGGTCAGGGCTAGGCACAGGCCAAGGTGATGAGATCCCAGCTGCCCTCGGAGTTCACAGTGGGGGTCCGTCCAGGAGGGCTTCCTGGAGCTGCTGGCCTGCTCACCTGGGCTGAGCTCCATTCCCATTGGGAGAGGTGGGTGCCATGCCCAGACCTAGAGGAAGAGCTGCACGGGGACAACAGGGGTGCAGCCAGCCTTGGGGAGCGCAGGGACAAGCACCCCTTCCCTCCTGCTTCCTGCTGGAGCCTCCTGTTGGCAAAGCCCAAGGGAACGGTGCACGGAGGAGCAGCAAGTGTGGGAGAGGCGAAGGGAGCCCCCACCAGTGACCGAGTCCTTTCATCGGGGTTCCCTTTCCATGTGAGTCTTTGTGCCGGCCGGGGTACGGCTGACGCCCCGTCCTCTGCCTGTTCAGAGGGAAACCCGACGCCTGGGCAGCAGTCGCCTGCTCTCGTGCCAGGAGAGGACCCTGCTCCTGCGGCACCACCAGCACATATTCTCGGTGCAGAGGGCCGTGGCCCGCCTGCGGCAGGAGCTCCTGGCCACGGCCCAGCTGCTGCAGGTGGGCACTCGCCCTGGGCTGGAGGCTCCGCTGTGGGCAGGAGGTGCTTGTCGCCAGGGGCTTTGCGGGATGTGCAAGGCCCTTGTAAAAACATCCTGGGGTGACAGGAGCTCTGGGTACAGATGGAGGGCAGGGCGGGTGGCTGCTTCCTGGGGGGCCCAAGGAGGTCTCCTGAGCAAGGTGGCCCTGGCCAGGCCCTGGAGGAGGAGACAAACCCCTGCGGTCCCGGGAGAGGACCTGAGGCCGGAAGAAGCACGTGGCCTGGGGCTCCTTGGAGCGGCCAGGCCCATGGGGGACCCTAAGCAGCAGGGCATCCCTGGCCCAGCAGCCTGGCCCTGGCTACGGTCTCATGCAGGAGGCTGCGGACATGGGTGGGTGGCTGTTCTCTGTAAGCTGGGAATGCTGCAGGAGGATGGAATGACCTGGGCTCCATGACACTCCTGGTGGGGGTTAGCAGGTGCACGGTGGGCTGGCCACCAGGCAGGTGTGCTGCCTGCCCCCAGCCAGCCTGTAGGAGGGGCACCCAGGGCAGCTGGAACAGACTAGGGTGTGGGCCCAGCTAGTCCTGCTCTGGTCTGGTGTCTGCACTTTATCACCGGAGCTCAGGCTCCTGTGAGGATGGGCGCACGGGGTCAGAGGGGGAGTACACAGGGTCAGAAATGGGTGCACAGGGTCAGAAGGGGGTGCATGGGGTCAGAGGGGGGGTGCACAGGGTCAGAAATGGGTGCACAGGGTCAGAGGGGGGACATGGGGTCAGAGGGGGCCACATGGGGTAAGAGGGAAGCACATGAGGTCAGAGGGGGGTGCATGGGGTCAGAGGGGGGTGCACAAGGTCAGAGGGGGGGTGCACAGGGTCAGAGGGGGTTGTACTGGGTAAGAGGGGGGCACACGGGGTCAGAGGGGGGCACACGGGATCAGAGGGGGGTGCACGGGGTCAGAGGGGGGCACATGGGGTCAGAGGGGGGTGCACACGGGGTCAGATGGGGGCGCACGGCGTCAGAGGGGGGCGCACCAGGTCAGAGGGGGCGCAACGGGGTGAGGGGGGCGCACGGGGTCAGAGGAGGGGTGCAAGGGGTCAGAGGGGGGTGCACGGGGTCAGAGGGGGTGCACGGGGTCAGAGGGGGGCACACGGGGTCAGAGGGGGCTGCATGGGGTCAGAGGGGGGCGCATGGGGTCAGCCAGGTGCCTTCTCAGGTGAGCACGCCGACCACTTTCCGAATAGAAGCTGGACCAGGGCTGTTCTTGCCAGCTCACCTTCTGTTGTTTCTCCCAGGGTTCCAGCCCCGGAGCCAAGGCCGCCTGGGAGTGGGGCTCTGAGACAAGCCAGCAGCCAGTGGGGCCTGCACAGGGCTCGTCATGCTCCCCAGCACCACTCAGGCCCCGCAGCCCCTCCGGCCACGGCCCCCGGAGGAGCCCCGAGAGCCTGCGCGTCCCCCCGTGAGTCAGCATGGGCTGCCCAGCCTGTGCTCGCCCTCTCCTCCCTCGGGAGCGCTTTCCAAATAAAACTCACTGGGACTGACCTGAACGCGTCACCATCACGCGCCAGTCCTGGTCTTTGAAATCCCTGGGCTGATCCCCCTCATGGGCAGGCAGAGGATGGCCCGGGACCCCAGCCCTGTCCACACCACGATGTGAGTGTGATCCTGGAGATGCTCAGGGGGACCGGGGGGAGAGGCAGCTGTAGCAGGTGTGCGGAAGACAGAGCGTAACTAACTCCAGGCTGCCCCCAGAGAATGGCAGAATGTTCTGGAGCCGGCCTGCCTGTAGGCATTGCCCTCAAACCAGGACTTGGGACTCCAGCCATCTTCTTTCGGCTGTGACTAGGGGCCACTTGGTGCTGGCATCAGTGTGCCAAGGGCGTGGCAGCCTGTGTGGCGTCCAGGCCTCCAACCCACCATGCCTCCCAGTGCTCAGCGGCCCAGCTCGCGCACACAGGGCCGTGCCACGTGCCGGCAGTCACTCCCCACACAGGGGTCTCTACAGAGCATGTGCTCTGTGCCCAGGACCAGATGGGCATCTCCCCCCACAACACCCAGCACTGTGCCCCGTGCCCTGCCCCCCCAGCAGTGACCTCGTTGGGGACAATGCTCTGTGCATGGGGGCTGCTGGGTGGGAGGGGCCAGGGCCTGTCTTGCCTTGCCTGAGCACTGGCCACTTGGCCACTGACCGCAGCTGACCCTGGACGAGATACAAATTCCGCATGTGGAGATTGTGGCCAGGCTTGGCACCGCGGATGGTGGGGCCTGGGCAGGCAGTCACACCCTCTGCACTGCTTTGCAGCCCTGTCCCTGAGCAGGATGGGACAGCCCCCAGAGAAACTTCAGCTTCAGACCTCCACCTGTGGCCCCTCAGGCCAGCCGTGGCCGGTTGCTGGGTGGACGCCCAGGAAGAGCCAGTGGAGAGCGGCAGCCAAATGGGCCAAGGTGACCACGGGGCAGAGGGCGGGGGGAGAGGGATAGCAGCAGTCAGAGGACAGATGGTCACTCTGTCCGGTGCCGGTTGGTCTCTGCTCAGGACACTGTGCCTGGGTGTCACCCATCAGTCACGGTAGCCCTGGCTTCTTCTGGGTGACCCACGATGCCTCGGCCTTCACCAAGAGCCGTGACCGCAGGGCAGTGATTCTGCCGGCAGAGGTCCCAAGGCCTGGGCTTGAGCCAAATAGCTCCCGTCCCTAAGGCTGGGGCCTAGGGCCTCCGTGCCTTGGTGTCCCACCTCGCCAGGCCAGGGTGGAAGGAAGGCAGTGATGGACAGACGTGAGTCCCTCCTGTGGGCCCCCGTGTCCCCACGCTGTCCCCACTCTGCTGACCTGGGCATGGCCAAGGCCTGCCCTTGCCCCACCTTCTCCTCAAACCGTTCCTGGGCTCCTATCAGCAGCTCTCCCACAGCCACTTTCAGGAGCAGCCACGTGTGCTGTCCTCACTGGAGCCAGATAAGCCAGGGCTGCGCTACTTTGCAGTTTAGGATTTTTTTCACATGGCCTCGGAGTCCCTGGACAGGTGTCTACTGGCCTGTGCTCCCACCGTCCACACTGATGGTCTCTTTGCTTCTCAGGAGATCCCCAGCCCAACCCCAGCCCCTCGTCCACAGCGGAGACCCAGACTCTGAGGGAAAGCGATGCATGGAGCTCCCGGGGCCAAGGAGGGCCCTGCAGCCCCCATGAACCCAGTGTGAGTGGAGGCCTGGCCTTGCTTTGTCGACCCTGCCATGTGGCTTTTGGGGGGATGGCCTCGTCCGTCAGGTGAAGGAGTCAGGACAGCCTGCCTGGGTGGCCCGTCTGCCGGGGCCATTGGAGCCCACTGGAGGAGCGTGCCTGGGGGGCGGGGTCTCCAGGGCCTCGGTGGGCAGGTGGTCCTTGCTCCTGCCCGTGGCCAGGAGAGCACAGGTGCTCTCCCCACAGCTGCGGGATGCGGGCCAGTGCGGGCGGAGGTGCCACACCTGAATGTGGCGTTTCTCCCACGTGTTTCCAACAGGTGGCTGAAGGCAGCGCCAGCCGAGTCGGGGCAGAGCTGGAACTGGACTTTGCTAGCAGCCCTGGCAGGGAGGCCCCTGAAAAGGAAGACCAGTGGTCAGAGGAACAGAGGTGTGGGGTCTGTGGGGTCTGCGGGGGCTGCCTGGGCCCAGGGGACCCTCGGGCAGGGGTGGGACCCGAGGCATAGAGGTAGTTAAGCCATTGCTCCCCAGGCTCTCGCTGGGGGACCCTCACTCACTCCTGGTGCCCTACACACTGGCCTGGCCTCAGGGCATCCCAAGCCCACCCCATGCCCTCCCGAGTCTGAAACAAGGGTGCCACTCAGTGAATCAGCCCCAGGGCCAGTGGTGGGCGCAGCAGGAGGGGCCCCTCCAGGGAGTAGGTCCCCAGCTCCCTGATTCAGTGGGGACTGGGGCCAGAACCCCCTAAAGACAGGGAGCCTTGTGCTCTGGGGGCAACCTCCCCACCTCCCGTTGGGGTAGTCGACTGCCCCCCACAGAGACCCTGAGTCCCCGGAGGCTGGGAGGGTGCTGGGAGACTGTCCACCATGTGTTTGCAGAACAGAGACCTGTTGGCAGGAGGACCCCCACGACCCCCACTCCTGGCAGGAAGCCACCCAGCTGACCACCTGTCCAGGTGATCCCCGGTCCCCTGCCTTTGCACCAGAACCGTCGAGTTCCCACTTAAGGTCACCCAAGTCACAGCCAGCCTCTCCCGCCGCCGGGCTTGGGGGCCACCCCCTCCCCCTCCCATCGCGGTCCCGATCAGCAGGTAATGATGGGAGGTGGCCCCCCTGTTGGAACATCTACTCTCAAACGGCAGGATGGGCAGAGGCAGCCAGTCTGTCTCAAAGGACAGCTGCGGCTCCGAGCCCCTGAGGACAGTGCGAGCAGAGGTGACTCACTTCCTGTGGGGTGGGTGAAGCTGAGCTCACCACCAGGGTCATAGGCCCGCCCACGGTGCCGCCGGCCACGTCTGCTGCCTCTATCGGGGCTTCCCGGTTCTGACCCCCTGGCTTGGACGTCCCTGAAGACGTCCCAGTGGGCTGTGTGTGCTGCTGCTGCTGCTCCTGTGCTGGGGCGTGGCAGGGGAGGCAGAGTGGAGACTGTGGGTGACGTCCCCACCCTCTCTTCTCTCCGTAGCTCCTGCTGAGGAGGCAAGGCCCCCCACCCGGCGCCAGGGCAGCCCCCCGGCCCGGATCCTCACCCCCTTGGCCCTGGACTCCCCGCCAGCGTCTGTTCCTGGGACCTGCTCGGGGTCACCAGTGGGATCCCGCACCCCCTCCTCCGGGAGCGGCCTGTCCTGTCCCTCCCTGCAGGAGTTCCAGAAAGTGTCCGCCATTCTGGTCCAGCTCTCGGGTAGTTCTGCCTCCTTGTCAGACTGGGAGGCCGGGGACACCCCGGACGCAGACCTGGGCTCATCCGGGGAGTCCTCTGTTGGAGCCTCCAGGGGGCGGCACGGGGGTGGAGGACAGGCAGCCAGCGGGGCCCATCCCCTGCTGGTCTCCCCCACTGCGTCAGGGCCAGGCCTCCTGCAGGCGGGCCAGCCTCAGCTTCACCCCGATGTCCCCTCGCCCGGGTCGGGATCAGAGCTGTCGGAGGCGTCCAGCGAGGTCTGGGATGAGAAGAGCCCCCTGGAGCCTGGCACGGGCGCCCAGCCAGCTGCAGGGCGGCCCCTCCCTGCTGGAGGCTCCTCCAACCTGGAAGTTGGGGCACCTAGCACGGCACTTCTCTCTCCAGGCCCTGGTGGGGGCCAGGAAGCTTCTGGATCTGGTGGCAGCATGACCAGTGAATTAGATGCAGGAAAGGCCAGCTGGCTATGCCTGTCCCTTCCCTGTCCCTCGGGGCCCAAGGGGGCTGGAGTCAGCCAAAGAGGAGAGACGGGGCCTCTGCAGACCTCCACCGACTGCCCAGAGGGGCCTCGGGAGGCTGACCTGAGCCCACAGGCAGACAGGAATCCCCCAGGGGCTCCTCCTGCCACCCCCGGGGTGCTGGCAGCCCTGAGGCCTGAGAGCCGGGCACCTGGCCATACGGGCAGTGGAGCCCCCGCTGCACCGGGGGAGGCCAGCCCGGCTCTGGAGGGCCGTGTCCTGCCTGAGATCCTGTCTCCGGTGGACGAGGTGCTGTCCTACGGCAGTGCCGACCTCTCGTCCTCCACACACAGGGCTGCTCCTCTGCCTCCTGCCCTCCCAGCAGGAAGCGGGGCCTTCCCCAGCCCCGCCTCCGAGGACTTCCCTTCCCCACCCGAAGACGCCTCCACCAGCACCTGGGAGTTACCCTCCTTGTCTGAGGCCCTGTCCCTGGGGCCCCAGGAGGCCAGCCTCTGCCTGGCAGCAGGTGTAGAGGGCAAGAGCCTCAGGGATCAACTGGGCGAATCACATTCTACTGGGAGGAACCAGGCTGTGGGGGGCCAGTGGCCTGAACCTGTTGGCTGGCTCAGGTCCCCCTGGTTTGGGGGGGTGGGCAACGCCCCAGCCGGGCCCCCAGGACAGTCCGTGCAGCCCCCAACACTGTTCGGAGAGGCCTGTGAGGCTGGAGAGGGTCTGCCAGCACTGCTGACGGCTGGCCACACAGGACTGGCTGGCCCCTGGCAGGGGGACTCGGCTCGCGCTTTGGACGGGGGCCCCAGTGGGGACAGGGCAGAGGTGGTGGATCTGCTCTCCACGCAGCTCAGCAGAAGGATCCTGTGTGACACGCTGGCTGTGCTCTCGGAGCTGACCCCACCGGCCAGCCCGGGGACCAGAGAGCTGGCAGGTGCCGGCCGTGTGCCAGGCCTCACGGGGCAGCCGCTGGGCAGTCCTGGAAAGACAGGCCTCAGGAAAGAGTAGGCGGCCTACAGAGACATCTGTAAGTCATTGTGTTATGCTGTGTGACCATGTGTACCTGTGCTTGCGCGTACGCGCGTGCGTTTGTGTGTGTGTGTGTGTGTGTGTGTGTATGCACGCGTGTAGGTGTGCTAGAGCCTCAGGAAGCCTGGACTCCCTAGCACAGGCTGGCATGTGGATGGCCATCGGATGTGGGCCTGAGACTGGACGTTGGCTG